AAATTAATTTTTATTTTATGTAACTTAATTACTAAAATATATAATAATTATACTCTCAACTTATACATTAGGACACATATTAAAAAAAAAAATTTATTAATGTAACGATGCCTCTACATTTGTGGTACTTATTTGTAATTAAAAAATTAATTTATTATAATTGATTAATTATTTAATTGTAGCTAAAATCCACATATGCTGTACCACTACATTACTTTACAGAGATATTGCTGATATGGTATTCCTTGGTATGAAAATTTCTTCTAGTTGAACTACGGAGCATCAGTAATTATACTTATGGAATTTGGGAGTAATAAACCTGCTTGATTTTGTCCATTTAAATACAGATTTTTCTTTAGTCAGAACTTTAGGCCTAAAGATTTGGGTGATGTCCCTTTTTTTTTTTTCTTCTTCCGAAAAATACTCCAAATCCAAACTCCTTTATATGTAGAAAATAATTGAGTTTTTTTTTTATTTTTTTATTTTAACATGTAAATTTAAATAATATTTTAGGTATACTAATGTATGAAAAGATTGAGATCCATATATGAGTGCTTGTGATATCTGGATTGCACTTCTTTTTCTTTTTCTTTTTTTTTTTTGTAATTCGAACTAAAAATGTACATATCTTCAATGAATTATATGAGGGCTTCTAACACGATACATCTTATTAATTTTTTTTTTTTTACCAATGAGAATATGTTTCATCCAACCTCATCTAATTAATAAAAATCAATTTGATTGATTATTAAGAAAAAATTATGTGGCTATAAGAAACATTTAATAATTCTTTAATTAGATTTAGTTGTTTCAATTTAATTTTATATAAAGTTTGATTATATAATTTTATATAATAAATAGATGACAATTAAAAAAAATTTAGTATTTGTTAATTAAGTATTTTTACTTAGATAAAAAAAATTTATTATAATTTATTTATTATATAAAATTATTGAGTTAAACTCTATGTAAAAGTTAAACAAAGATAATTAAATCCAATCAAATAGAGTTTATAAATTTTGTTGGAAACAATCCAAAAGGAAAATTTTATTTTTTAATAGTTACAATGTTTTACTTGCCCAAACTTCAAAATTAATTTTTCTTTATATCATCCTTAGGTGCATTCTTTATATTAATCTAGTGCCTGAGGGTTATTTTTAAATTTTAACAATTAATTTAATTTTCTTCTCCCTCTATAATTTAGTTAATTAATGTAACTATTAAGCATTGTAAAGTAAGGAATTTTTTAATCATTGTCCTTAGAATATAGGTTGAAGAGTACATATTTTTATTATTAATTTACATAAAAAAATAAAAATTGA